GAGAACCTCGAAACCACCCGCCAGTTCGCTCTCGTCGGGGTGCAGCAGAGCAAGACAATCACTCCACACATGCCCGTAGGATCCATCATTCGACTGCCCAGGCAGCACCATGTGGGCGAATGTTCTTGCCCCAAGAGGCGAGACGCGCCGGCGTGGGGTAGCGGTCGGCCCACAGCCCGCGCAGCGCGCCGAGCGGCGCTGGCCTCAAATCACGAAGGCCGAGACGAAGAGCACGCTCCCATACATCATGAGTAGCCACCTCCACAGGCAGATGGTACGTCAACCTCTGCACCTGCCAGCGCTTGACGGAGTCCTCCAAATGCACCTTCATGTCCGCAGGGGCCGTGCGCAGCAAATCATAATCATGAAACTGATCGTCACGCCAGTGATGAGGGCCAATGAATGCCCAGCCGATGCGGCCCAGCGTCAGCCAGGCTGCACCAAGTGGCCCTCGAACTGCAGCCCAGATGAAGCCTGTTGAGCTCGCACGTGCCGCTAACCTTGACCATGCATGGCGCAGCGAGCTGAGCGAGACTCGGTTGTCCCAGATGAAACAGTGCAGCCCACGAAGAAGCGCAGTCGTCGCATCAAAGATAAGATCGTACCGCAACTGCCGCTGACAATACAAATAGGCCGTTTTGTGCGCCTGCGGCGGCGCCCCAACCATAGTGGCAGCCACGGACCTTGCCGCAATCATTCATTCCAGACACACCTGCACCATGAGCCACAGCTGGTTGAGCCCCAGCACGCCACAGCGCAGAGTTCTTGCGACCAGCCACTTGCCGAAAGATGTGGAGCCGACTGCGCCTCCTCTGCAATTCCTGCAGGCGTGCCTTCTCCTGCAACCGTAGCGGCCGTACACCCATGGAGGAGGAGGAGGAGGAGGAGGAGGAGGAGGAGGAGGAGGAGGAGGGCTCGCGCCCGCGGGAGATAGGCTTCCTGAAAAGCCGTTAAAGCCAGGGCTCGGGTTCGGGGGGGAGTTCGAAGTTCGGGTTCGGAAACCAAGGAAAAAGCAAGAGCTAGAGGCAAGTGCGAGAGCTCAGGGGGAGACCGAAAACAGCTCAAATGTGTTAACAGAGCTTGGAGAAAGTTCGAAAAAGTTAGAAACAAGTTCGAACTAAGTTGTGAAGTTCGGGAAATTCTCATATAGTTCGGAAAAGTTTGGAAAGAGTTCGAAACGAATTCGGGAGTCCGAAGAAAGTTCGAAACCAAACATTCTCCAGACTCGAGGATTCTCGCAACTTCAAACTTGAACTTCCTAAAATAAGAACATTGGTCTCGGACTTTTCCGTACTTTGTATTTGCTTTACATTGGGACCGTTTGCGCCCCATCAGCCAATCACAACCCCAGTCGAGTGGGGACCCCCAGCACCCTGCAGCTGCAGCCCTGATGGAACTCGAACCCCGCAGAGGACCAGTGCCACAAGCAGCTTGCCTGGTTGCCGGGTCATGGCAGGAGGAGCCAGAGAACCAAACAACCACGACGGGGGTTCCGCCTGTGATCGAGGTGCAAACAAAAAGAATGGGCACAAACTAACGGATGTCCGCGAGGATTCCACGAGCCGGCACCAGACCCCCCATCCCCGCACTGTTCACCGGCGCGCGGAGCGCGCCAGGAGTGTGCTGGAGGCACCGCAAGAAATGCGGCGAAGAGGTGGCTTAGCGTCGACCACGCGGACCGTCGAACATTTGTGATTCATTGTGCCTTAGCTTGCTCCTCGAAGAAACGCGGAACGCCACACAAAAAACACAGGCAAACAAAACTAGAAACTCCGCACGTGGGGTCCCCGTCGTGAGCGCTTCCGGCAAAGATTCCGCTGGCGCCCGAGAGAACCCCAGGGGGGGGGGGCCTCGAGAGACCTGTGAGCAGCCATCAAGAGCATCCAGTGCATTCCAGAGACTGGCAATGTAACACCCCCCTCCCCCAAAAAAGCAGCGCAAGATCATTTTCCTCCTCCTCCTCCTCGTCCTCCTCTCCCTTCTCGTTCTCCATCCTCAATCCTCCGTTCCCCATCCTCCATTATCCATCCTCCAATCTCCACCTTCCATGCTCCATCCTCCATCCTCCCCCCTCCATCCTCCGTCTTACATCCTCCACCCTCCATCCTCCATCCTCCACCCTCTTCCTACATCCTCCATCCTCCGTTCCCCATCCTCCATCATCCATCCTCCAATCTCCACCTTCCACGCTCCATCCTCCATCCTCCCTCCTCCATCCTCCGTCTGACATCCTCCACCCTCCATCCTCCATCCTACACCCTCTTCCTACATCCTCCATCCTCCGTTCCCCATCCTCTAGCCTCAAGCCTCCTCTTCCTCCTCCTCATCCTCCTCCTCTTCCTCCTCATCCTCCTCCTCCTCCTCCTCCTCATCCGCATCCTCATCATCATCGTCATCATCATCAGCATCCTCATCATCATCATCATCATCATCATCATCATCATCATCATCATCATCATCATCATCATCAGCATCATCATCATCATCAGCAGCATTATCATCATCGTCATCATCGTCATCATCATCATCGTCAGAGTCAGCATCATCATCATAATCATCACCATCATCCGCATCATCATCATCAGCATCATCATCATCATCATCATCAACATCATCATCATCATCATCATCATCAGCATCATCATCATCATCAGCATCATCATCATCATCATCAATATCATCATAGTCATCATCATAATCATCATCAACATCAGCATGATCATCATCCTAATCAACGTCATCATCATCATCCTCTTTCCATCTTGCCCCGTCCTCCATGCATGCTCCCTCCTCCTCCCTTCTCCTCTTCATACCTATACGACCGTCCGTCGGGTGATAAGGAAGCATGCATGCCTGGCCTGGTAGCCCGCGCATGCGGGCTATGCGGTGCGCAACTTCCTGAGGTTGATCCCGTCACGAATTGGGAGTAGCACTGGCGTGGTATTGGTTGTGCGGCAGGAGGCTAGCGCAGGGTAGTCTGTGAGGGTGTGGGAGTGTGAGCGTGGGGGAGTGAGAGAGCATGAGAGAGCTGCTTTCTCCATTTGGGTTCGCGCTGGTTTTCGATTCGCCGTGCATGTCGACGCGTATATTGCCGCAGGCCCCGGGCCCCGCATCCCAACTGATGCGTAGGTCTGCTCACTTGTCTTCACGTGTCTTGTGACCCGCGCGGCCGGCATCCCAACTGATGTCCGCGTCGCGCTCCTTACCGGGCACCGAGCTCTGTTTCTTTGCGCAGGCGGCCCACTCCCGTGCATCCCAACTGGTGCGCGAGGGTTGAGACGGGCTCGGGGTGTCCCGTCCCCGCACTGCTGATGTGCCCGGCCCGCACCAAACAGTGTTTGCTACTTTGTTTCCCCCCTCCCGCCCAACTGTGGGCGGGGCCCGCGCCACGTTGTGCTCGTCATTCATGCATCCTCCCTCCCGCCAAACTGAAACTGGGCCACGCACTCGTTCGGTCCCCTCCCGAGGCACGTCGCCAGCACGGAGTGGAAGGAGGTTCCCTGGCCGCGAAGCCTGCGGACTTCCCTGTCTGGAGGACTGGACAGAGATCTGCCCCTGATACTGGGGCAAAACATTGGGGCATAGATTGGTGGGCATTTCCGGTGAGCATATAAACTGGGATAGAAAAGATCGGGGGGAAGAGGATAGAGAGAGAGGGGGAGGGGGCGGAGGGAGAGTTGTCAAGAAGAGACGTAAGACGATGGAGAGGTGTGGTAGGGAGGAGAAGGGCGATGGAAGAGAGAACTCATTCTCGGCTTTCTCGGGTTCGTAACTGTAAATGTTGAGAATGTAGTTACAAGACGAGTGTGCGCGGCGCTACGGCGAAAAAGGATGAGGATACTGCTGATATTCTTGGTAAGAAGATTACAACTACGATTCGACCTTGACCCGGTGCATAAGAAGGTTCGCCACCCCCCGCCGACCAGAAGTGTCTTGCCCAGAGATAATCAACACAGCATGGGTGAAGGCTAGGGGGGAACTCCTGGGTAGTCCTCGTTGGAACGAGTACGGGCGATCATGATTAGAGGGCCACTTCGCCCGATTAGGCCAGCTTAAGCCAGGTACTAAGCTTGCATCAAGCCCGGTTAGGCCGGAGCAAGCGGGAGCAGGCTGGATTAAGCCAAGTCAGCCCAGATGAAGCCGGTGACGGACCGCGAGAATGCCAGCGCCGATACAGAATCTAAGCTTCCAGGAGTTGTATCCCAGTGAAGGGGCGGGGGGTACCTGAAGGGGCCCCAGGACACACAAATAAATACACACAAATAAACATATGCCCTATATTTTCCCATATATTCTGGGTTTTTGTCGTCCCCCCCACTTCCCATATTTTCCCATATTTTTGGTGGAACCGACGATTAATTGTGTCTGTGTGTTTTTTCCCCTCCTGAATACCTTACTCTCCGGGGCATGGGGCTATTCGAGCTCAGCCTCGCAGCCCTCGCCCCCGAAAGGCGAGGACTCAGAGGAGAAGTTGTGAAGGGCAGCAGCGGCAGCGGGAGGAGCGGCTGCACGCCAGGGAGACCCCGGGCCAGAGTGGCCGTTGGTCGGCCACGCGCAGAGAGGGGTACGTGAGGCTGCTTAGAAGTACAGTCGGGGCGTTGACCTAAGGAACCCTAAATAAGGAACGATGCCCCTGTGTTCCATGAGTTAGACTTCGATTTGCTGTCGAAAACATAAGGAAAACCTGAGGCAGGCTGCGAAACACTTAAGGAACGCGGAGCCCCTCCCCAACCAAAAGGGTTCCTTCTTCAGGGCCCCGACTGTAGGCTGACACTTGGAAGGCGCTGGCCTTAAATCTGCAGATAAGGCGTGCGCCTTCTAAGAAGCAGAGTGCTTCTCAGAAGCCTTCCCCCCTCCCCCTTAACCCCCATCTGCGCGTGGCCGATCAAAGATCACGCGCGAAGGGGCAAGGCGGCGGCTTTACATCTACCGATGAGGCTCGCGCCCTCTGAGAAGCAGGGTGCTTCTGAGAAGCCTTCCCCCCTCCCCCTACCCCCCCTCTGCGCGCGGCTGACTCGGGGGTCCAAACCAAGGACGCGTGCTGACGGACCGCGCAGCGACCTCGAAAGCTCAAGAGACCCCACTGCGCGGTCCGTCACCCCCTGGCCTTGGGGACCTCGGAGAACCTGGTCGCCCGAGACGTCGGAGGAGAACAACCCGACCCCGAAACCGTACGGTGAGACCTCAAATCCCCACTGGCTCACCACGCGGTATGGTCACCACACCGTGTGGGGGCCACCCGAAGGCTGGCCCCTCGGGGGCGGCGCGGGTGGACCAGAGCCCCGCAACAGCAGCGGCGAGGCAGAGGCGGCGAGTGCGGCACCGCCGCTGGGCGCGCTCATGCCTCCGCGCCCTGCTCGCACGCGCTGATCCCGGCGCTGTAGCTGACAGCATCGGGCTCCAGGTGCGCGCCCCGCATCTCGCCGAGCAGCGACAGGGCCTGCTGCCAGCGCCCGCCCTTCTCGTACGCAGACACCCCCGCACTGTAAAGGATGACATCAGGGTCCACCTTCGCATCCCGCACATCTCTAAACAACCGCACAGCTTCTCGCCACGGCCCGCCGGTCACGCACGCACTGGTCCCGGCGCTGTAGCTGATAATGCCGGGCTCCAGCCTCGCCATGGTCATCTCGCTGAGCAATGACAGAGCCTGCTGCCACTGCCCGCCTTTATCACACGCGCTGAGCCTGCCGCTGTAGCTGATGACGGTGGGCATCAACCTCGCTTCCCGCATCCCGCTGAGCAACAATAGCGCATGCTGCCATTGTCCGCCATTCTCGCATGCGCTGATGCAAGCGTTGTAGCTGACTAGGGCTGACCTGTGGACTACCGTCCACGATTGCTAATGTATTGGGAGGGCGCATGCTGCTGCGTAGTGCTTCAGGGCGAGCTGGGTGCTCGATGATCCTGTCGGCGCCGACTGCATCGTTTGCAGCAGCATCGGATGTGGCAGCATCGGCAGTAACCCGAGAGGTGGGTGGAGTGACGTGACTGGCAAACGACGGCAGCCACTGTGCAGAGGGAACCGTGGGCAACGAGGAGAAGGAGGTCGAGGAAGGAAGTGTAACCTGTATGAAAAAACCATACCCGCGCCTCATGGAACACGCGCCGTGCAAGAGTAGTCCCAGAAAAAGTGTTCTGGGGCGTTGGCGGCTCGGTCTGAAAGGCTTTTCGGCCATCCCCTTCCAGCCCAAGATGGCCCCAAGAGGGCCCCAAGAAAGCTCCAAAGGGGCCCCAAGACTATTCCAGAGGGCCCCAAGAGGGCCCCAAGAAGGCCCCAAGTGAGCCCCCAAGAGTTCCAGACGCGGGGGCAAGTCGGCTAGAGCTCTCAGGGGGCCCTCAGCCCCCATAGGACCCCCTCAGGAGGACCCAAGACTGCCCCAAGAGGGCCCCAAGAGGGTTTGAAAAAAGCCCAACAACTTGTCACGAAAAGGGGCTGTCTTAGTGACAGGTTGTCGGTCCCTCTTGGGGGCCCAAGATTGCCCCAAGGGGCTCCAAGAAAGCTCAAAAGGAGCCCCAAGACGGTTCCAAGAGAGGAGAGAGTCCACCTGTGAGCAAAAAACAATACCCCGCACCTCATGGGACACCTCTTCCTCGGGAGGGCTTGCCAAAAATTCGTCCGGGCCCCCCCGCGGCACCCAGGGACGCTGTTTTCTAAGGCCTCTCTCGCACGCCGCGTGTTGCAGGAGGCGTGAGGTACGATGCGAGAGGTGTCCCAAGAGGTGTGGGGTGCGTGTGTTTTCCCAATCCGACGGGGCTTCAGTGAAATTGGAAATTTCAGGGCTTCCTGGGAATCCACCCGGGCCACGGTGGGCCGATTTCGGAAACCTTGGGTGCCGTGCTGGGCCAGATGGGGGGGTTGTTCCAGTTAACATTATGGGGAGGCTTCTTGCGGGCCTCTCGGAGGCAGTTTCGAAACCTTTGGGCCGGGGTCCTTTGGGGGGCATCTTGGGGCCTCTTTTGGGCCTCTCGGGGCCTCTTGGGGCCTCTTGGGGGCCTCTTGGGGGCCTCTTGGGGGAGTCTTGGAGCGGAAGGCTGGGATCTTGGGTTCGAGGTCCCCCTCTTGGGGCCGGCTTGGGGCCCTCTTGGGCCGTCTTGGGCGCGTCTTGGGCCGTTTGGGCGCCCTCTTGGGCCGTTTTGAGGGCCTCTTGGGAGCCTCTTGGGCCGTCTTGGGGCGGTCTTGGGGGCCCTTGGACCGTCTTCAGCGCCAGGAAAGCCGAAAAGCCGTACATGCTCGAAATGTACGTTGTCCTCCGGAAAATCTATGATTTTGGTCTCTTGGGGCCCTCCTGGGACGCCACTTGGGCGTCTCTTGGGCCGTCGTGGAGGCCTCTTGGGCCGTCTTGGGCTCTCTTGGGGCTCCCTGGAAGCCACCGTGGGCTCTCTGGGGGCCCGCGTGGACCGTCCCCACGAGCGGAGCCGCCGAGGTGCTGCGCCCCAGGGCCCGGCGAGGGTGCCCCTAATTTCCCCTCTCGCACGCTCAATGCCAGGTATTGTAGGTTAGACTAGGGCGAACCCGTGGACTTCGTCCACGTCATCTTGGGCCAGTCTTGGCTCGAAAAGGCCGTTTTGGGCCTGGCTTCGCTCGAAATGGCGAGAAGGTGGAAATCTTTCAGAAACCATTTCTGGTCGCTGCTCGTCTGGAGCGTCTTCGAGCGGTCTTGGACCGTCTCGGAGGCCCTCTTGGACCGCTTCCTTCTCTTCGTCCGCCTTCCGCTTTATCTCCGCCTAGATAGCCTTCGGAGTGTCACAGACGGCTATGGTGGGTCTGCGGTGTACGTCTCGCCGCTTGTCAATTTTGAAAGCACCTGGGGCCGAAGGCTCTGGTGACTTTTTTCCGGCTGCCTCTTCGAAGCCTGTTGGCGGGCGCTGCCGTCTCCTTGGGAACGGTTAGTGGGCCTCTCGGGAGTTCTTTTCGAACTCCTGGGGGCCTGCTGGAGCCTCGTTGGCTGTCTTGCCGCCTCCTAGGGGCCTCTTGGGGCCCTCTTGGACCGTCTTGCGGCCTCCTAGGGGCCTTTTCTCTTGAAGTTGTTTGGGGCGCCTCTGGGGCCGTTCCCGGACTGTCCCCCGAGCCTCTTCCGGCGGACAGCCCAGGATATATATATATATATATATATATAAGTATTGTTCTTGCGTGCTGTGCGTGCGTACTCCTGTGTGAGAGGTCGGAAGGGTGTCCCGACGTCACCGCTCGCTCTTGGGAGCTATGCCTGGGGGAGCTTTCTACGCTGCGTCTCGCTCTTGGGAGCCTTGGTGAGAAGAGCTTTGTACTTCACCGATCGCTCTTTTAGTGGACGTATGTGGGCCTGCTTGGTGGTCCTTGTGGGGGTCTTTTTCGAGCCATTCTGAAGCTTTTTGGGGCTGCTCTGGGAGCGTTTGTGGGCCGTCTTGGAGCCCGGGCCGCTGGCGTCTTCTTGGGGCGATTTGGGAGGTCTCTTGGCGTGTCCTGGGCCGCTGAGGAGCACACAAGGCGGGCATGCTGAAAATATACGTTTTCCCATAGGAACTTGACGAGTTGTGCCTCTTTGGCGTGCGCTCGGGGCCCTCTTGGGGCGTCGTTGCGGCCTCTTGGATCGTCGTGGAGCACCCCCCGAAGACTTCGGGCCCTCGTGGGCCGTCTCGGGACCCACTGAGGCATTCTCGGAGCGCTCTTGGACGGTCTGGGACCCCTCTGGAGCGCCTCTGGGACTGGCCTGAGCGATTCGGCCCCGTGGTGGCGCCGTAAAGGGGCGATTTTGTGCACACAAGGCCCTCTGAACCATTCTCGCACGCGCTTCCACTGGCCATGTAGGAGAGATGTAGGAGAGATTACGGCTGTCCCATGGACTTGCGTTACGAAAGGAAGATCGATTGCCTCCTTGCTGCTAGCCTGTTAGCCTGACAAGGGTCTCCCCTCCCCTGCTTGCGTGCTAGCCAGCTTGCCTGATACCTTGCTTGCCTGGTGTATTGCTTCCACGCTCGCTCGTGCGCTCGCTGCCACATGCTGACGTTTCCTCGTGTGATGCTGCTTGCTGCTACGCTGGTGGTAGTTGCAACTCGCAGCTACTGTCTGTTTGCCGGTGGGTAGTCTTGCCTTGTTGCGACCTGCTGCTGCTGCTGAATAGTGTTACTTGCCGCTGCCGATTTCAGCTGCACTTGCGTGATACCTTTCGTGTGGTTCGTAACCTTCTCGCCACATACATTGCCTGCCTGCTTAAGTACTGACCTGTTGGCCTGGCTGTTGCGTGCGTGCCTGCTTGATTGCTTGCTCATCCGTTCGCTACCACATATGATGTCCCCCCTTCTTCCCTACAGGGAGGGGTTTGCTGCTCGCTCTACTCCCTCCCCCTGGGTCTGGACAGGGGCACTCGCGAGCGGTCAGAGCGCCCAAGATGGCCTCGGCGAGAAGGCAAACAATTACCCCAGTGCGACCCTACCTAGAAGTTGGAGCCCCTAGGAAAGCAGCATTAGTTGCTATGCTATGCTATGCTATGTCATGCTATGCTGCGCTATGCTATGCTATGCTATGATATGCTATGCTGCGCTATGCTATGCTATGCTATGCTAGGCTGTGCTGTGCTGTGCTGCGCTATGATATGCTATACTATACTATGCTATGCTATGCTATGCTGCGCTATGCTGTGCTATGCTGGGCGTTGCTATGATATGCTGTGCTGCGCTGTGCTGTGCTGCGCTCTGCTATGCTATGCTGTGCTCTGCTATGTTAAAGCTCGGCGAAGCTATGATGAAGGTAAGCTAGGCTAAGATAAGCCTGAGCTAAGATGAAGCTAAGCTAAGCTAAACTAAGATGAAATAAGCTAAGCTAAGATGAGATAAACAACGCTAAGCTAAGGGAACGTCACTGGGGGAACCGCGGGGCGGATCCTGGGGGAACCGCCCGGGGCGGGTTGCACTGCTCGGCCCCTTAAGCAAACAGGGTAAGAACCCTTCTAGGCAGAGCCTAGGTAGCGAAATAAGCTAAGCTAAGATGAGATAAGCAACGCTAAGCTAAGGGACTGGGGGAACCACGGGGCGGATGCCGGGGGAACCGCCCGGGGCGGGTTGCACTGCCCGGCCCTTTAAGTACACACAGTAAGAACCCTTGTAGGCAGAGCCTAGGTAGGGAACACTGCTGCTTCAAAGGCTTTGGGCCCATGTTGGCCTCCTGGTGTGGGGAGGGGGGGAGGTGTGGGGCGAACCTAATGAACGCCCCCCTTGCTTTGTCCGATCGCCTCCGAGAGGGCCGCAACGCGGCCCGAACACCAGATGCGCGGCAGCAAGATGCCAACGTCATTCTGGGTTGGCTAAGAGTTGAGCAAGGACCGACCGTCCGGGCATTCCTATGGGCCTACCACGAAATTTTCTCAGAACCCTAAAATGTTCTAAGAATAAAAAACATATGTTCTTAGAACAGAAACCCGATGCGTGAAAACGAGACAGTCCCGGCCAGAAAAATGCTCCAGGAACCTTTCGCGGAAGCCACCAAAGGTTCTTAGAGCATTGTTCGGAAGGCCTACAGTGAAGGGGCCCTGGGACACACAAATAAATACACACAAATAACAGGATTCCATATTTTTCTATATTTTCTGTGTTTTTGTCTCCCCCCCCCTCATGGTTTCACGTCTGCCCCTGCCTGCTGGATTCATGACTGTCCCCCCGCTGTGGCGTCACAGTTTGGCCTTTTTCAGGTTTCACGACTGGCCCGGCTCTCAGAATTCACGGCTGCCCCCGTGATGAACTCACGACTGCACCCATATCATTTCACGACTACGTCAGGCTCCAATGTTGCATCCCGCATCTCGCTGAGCAGCGACAGAGACTGCTGCCATTGCCCCCCTTTCTCGCACGCGCTGATCCCAGCGCTGTAGCTGATGACATTAGGCTCCAACGCGTCGTCCCTTATCTCGCGAAACAATGACAGAGCGTGCTGCCACTGCCTGCACTTCTCACACGCGCTGACCCCAGCATTGTAGCTAACTAGTGTGAACCCGCGGAAAATCCACGGCCCGCAGGTCCAGGCGTTGGTCCCGAACTCGCACGTGTCGCCGAAGCCTCAAGTGACCCCCAGCAGGGCCCAGCACAGCCGCAGATGCCGCCCACGGGAGCCCAACGCGAGGTCCGAGACGGCCTCACACCCCCAAGATTACCCCATCCGCCCCACGAGGCGCCCGACCCAAGAGGGCTATCGTAACCGATTAAGGCCGGGCGTGGAGGTCTCAAAAAGCATCGGATTTCCGCTAATCGCGCCCGGCCTCTCCGCGATTAGCGAAAATCCGAAGGTTCTGGCCATTCCACTGCGCCAGGATTGGCCCCCACACGCACCCCAAGGCCTTGGACACCGCCCAAGACGATCTGAATTTCCCGAGGTTTCGGCCCCCCAGGGCCCTGCATCGATACAGCCAAGGGTGCAGGTGCTGGGATACGTAGGGCCCCCGAACCGGCTGTAGTGGCCTGCGGGCAATGTCGCCGCGGGCCTGGGTGGTGGGCAAGAGATCTCGTGGATGTTGGTTGGGATCTCATGGCTGGCCTCTCGCCTCTGGGAGACAGTTTGGGGGCTTCTTGGTAGCAGTTTGGGGGCGTCCTGGGGCCTCTTGGGCCCTCTTTTGGGGCCCCTTGGGGGCCTTGTAGGGCGCTTGGCGGCCTCTGGGGAGCCTCTTGGAGCCTCTGTGGGGCGTCCTGGGGCCTCCTGGGGATGTCTCGGGAGCGTCCCGGCGTTTCTTTGGGGCGTCTTGGGGCTTCCTGGGGGCCTCTTGGGGTGGAGGCCTAAATTTTTCGGTTCCGGGTCCCTGTCTTGGGCCTCTCTTGGGGCCTTCTTGAGGCCCTCTTGGGCTGTCTGGGGCGACTCCTGGGCCGTCTTGGGACCCTCTTGGGCCGTCTTGGAGCCGTCTTGAAGGCCTCTTGGGCCGTCTCGGAACGGTCTGGGGGGCCTCTTGGGCGGTCTTGGAGCGTCGGAAAGCCGAAAACGCGAGGCCAGAAACATCGAAAAAAACAAAGAAAATCAACGATTTTGGCTCCTGCGGCCCCTCTTGGAGGTACACTTCGAGCGCTCTGGGGTTGTGGAGGCGTCCCGGGCCGTCTTGAAGGCGTCTTGAAGCAATTTTGGGCGTCTCGGATCCACTCTTGGACCGTCTTGGGCCGTCTTCGGGACCTCCTGAGGCCGTCTTGGGGCGATCTGGGAATCCTGGATCAGTCCGCCAGCGGTCCGGGGGCCTCCTGGGCCCGTCGGGCAGCGGCCCAAAGGCTCTCCGGGCGGCCCGCGAGCTCTCTGGGCGGCCCGGGGCGCTGCCACTGCCTGACCTTCTCGCGCGCGCTTCGCCCGGAATTGTAGTACAGATAAGGCTGACTGCGTGGACGACGTCCACACAAACATCGGCACGATTCAACAAACCGCTGCGGCTCGCTGACGCTCGCTGCTGCTTGCTGCTGTTTGCTCCAATTTACTACTGTTTGCTGCTCCTGGCAGTAGCGTGATCCGGCGCATTGCTGCTGCGGCTGCTGCGTTCTTGTGAGCACCTCAGCACGCCTGTCAGCACCACAGCACGCCTGTGAGGACCGCGCCGTACCTGTGGGGTAACCCGCAAGCCCCCCGCGTACGCTCGGTAGCGTTACGATGAGGGCCGGGGGGGACCTCCCCTAACGGACGCTACGGGTTCACAGAATAAAAAAGAAACATGGGGCAGTCCTGGGGCCGCGCGAGGCGCCAAAATGAGCTCCCACAGCGATCCCGCGGCCCGCCCGGGCGCGGCGCCAGATGTTCCCCCTCGCGCAGGACGCTCCGAGGACTGCCGAGGCCGGTGACGTCGCGCTCCAGCTTCTCCTCCCGCATCTCGCCCAGAAGCCACAGGGCGCGCCGCCACTCACCGCTCTTCTCGCACGCGCTTATCCCGGCGTTGTAGCTGACGACGTTGCGCGCCATCTGCACCGCCCACCACATGCCGCTGAACACCGACAGCGCCTGCTGCCACGGCCCCCCTTTCTCGCACGCGCTGATCCCAGCGCTATAGCTGACTGAAGCTGACCCGTGGACCAACGTCCACGAATGCTTACGCGCAAATGAGAAAGAGGGCAACGGTGGAGGCGGAGGTCAGAGTGAGGGGGCAGAACGGGCATTCACTGTCCCTCGGGGCATGGCTGAAGTGGAATTCCGCGGCGCGGGTTCTGCTCGTTTGTTTGTTTGTTGTCGACGTCCCACGCTACCCGCCACGCGACCCGCCACGCGACCCGCTCCGCGACCCGCCCCGCGACCCGCCCCGCGACCCGCCCCGCGACCCGCCACGCGACCCACCCCGCGACCCACCCGCGACCCACCCCACGACACACTGGGCATCGCTCGGACGTCCATTCCCTGTGCTTTGTTAGGTTTCGTGCGTGGCTTTCTCGCCAGATGGCCAAGGATGCTCCTCGATGGTCCTCGCCGAAGGAAAAATGCACACGTCCGAGCGATGCCAAGGGAGAGGCCGCTGGATGTTCAGGCGCTTCAGACTTTGACCAGCGGGGAGGCCCAAGTCTCACCCGTATTATACGCGTCGGTCAGAAGAAGTCGGTAAGAAAACATGATGTGGGACAGCGTTGGAAGCAGATTGGGCTTCCGCCCGCCCCCTGAAGATAAGGGAAGGGCGCGAACCGCTCGACTCGGCGTGTAGTGGTCCGCGACACACCCCGCGACCCACCCCGCGCCCGCCCCCTCACCCTTGTCCGCAACTGCGGGGTGCTGCACGTTTGGCAAGGGAGCCGTGGCGCCGCCGCCGCATGGCCAGCGGCTGGGCGCGGCGGTGGGGCCTGCGCGGCGGACGCCTCGGCATGTGGATACAGAAGGGGCGTTGACCTAAGGAACCCCAAATAAGGAACGAGGCCCCTTTTTTCCCATGAGGTAAACTTCGATTTCCCATGGCAATCGAAGTTTATCTCATGGGAAACCCTAAGGAAAACCTTAGGCAAACTGCAAAACAACTGAGGAACACCGAGCCCCTCCCCAACGAAAAGGGTTCCTTCCTCAGTGCCCCGACTGTATGGCGGGCAAGGCGGGAGGAGGTGAGGGCAGAGACGGCCGATGAATGGCATGTCGGGAGCAAAGCCCAGACCTCGAGGTAACTTCAATGCTTCGAAATTGGAGCTTGTTCACCGCGGGCGTGCTCCAGGACGATTTCGCCCTTGAAACCTACATCATCCCGACAAGGCACCCAAATATCCCGAGCCGATCCCTCAAGGAAGAGGAAGCGGACACAAAGAGCACAGAAAATACGATAGATGCATGTACCAGATAATTTCGCGCTCCTTCGCGACCACGGGCCGCAACCAACCCTTTCTGGGCAAAACCTCGGGCAGCCACGAGCCGGAGCCACGATCTTTGGGAACGGTACAGGCTTACAGTCAAAACGTATATTAAGGACGCGTGGTAAGGACGCAAGACCCTTGGAGGCCGAAGTTGGATTTTTGGAGCGGGGGGCGGCCAGTGAAAACGGCGAAGGACGGGCCACAGAGGCAAGGACTCAAGGGTATCCTAGATGAAGGCGCGCGTCCTTACTAGGCGCGTTGACTGTATCTCTGCGGTTTCAAATCCCTGGCAGCTGGAACGATTCCATTGCCCACTGCGAGGGAGCCAGAGGGGAGAGCAAAGCTTGATTGGCAGTGCCTGACAACGGCACAAGGGGGAAGGGACCACGCCCCGTGGGGAAGAGGGGGCCGCAGACGGGAGACACGAGCTCCTCAGGATACTTGCAATCGAGCCTGTGCACCCGGCCAAGAAAATTTCGGGGAAGCCGCAGAGCCTCCTGTGGGAGTAACGTTAAGTCGGATCTGTCCCCCTACAGGCGGATTCTCGGCGAAAAATAAAAATACCCCAAAATACTTAAAAAAGTTTAAAAATACTCAAACGATAGTCCCCAGACTATGTTGGGCGTATTTTTTATTGTTCGTCGAAAACCCCCCTGTAGGGGGACAGGCCCGATTTAAGAGTAACGCTCTCTGGATGAGGCAGCAGGAGCGCTTGTCGGGCAGGAGCTACGCTCTTTGGATCGATTGTGGGGAGGCCTCAAGCGGGAGTAACGCTCGATTCAGGGAAAGCGAACTCTACAGGGCATTGTTTAAAATACATATGATATTGATAGATAGATAGATATATAGATAGATAGATAGATAGATAGATAGATAGATCGATAGATAGATAGATAGATAGATAGACAGATAGATAGATAGATAGATGTGTATATATATAGATAGATAGATAGATAGATAGATAGATATATAGATATATAGATAGATAGATAGATAGAGGATGCTTCATACATGGATAATGTACATGAATAAATGTATGCATCAACTCATCGTTGTTGTACTACTAAACCTGCATTCTTAATACATAATCCGCACGCGGAGCATGTATTAAAAACAACGGCACTGTATGCACCCGGCCAAGAAAATTTCGGGGAAGCCTCAGAGCCTCCTGTGGGAGTAACGCTCTCTGGATGAGGCAGCAGGAGCGCTCGACGGGCAGGAGCTACGATCGTTAGATCGACTGAGGGGAGGCCTCAAGCGGGAGTAACGCTCGATGCGGGGAAAGCGAACTCTATACACACTGACGCTGTCTCCGGCCCTACACCGAGATTTGCACAGCGTTTCCCTGGGACACGGGACCAAGAAGCTCCCCGATCAGTGCTTGCACTGAAGGGGTTCCTAGCGGAAATTGAAGAATTTGGCGAAAGATTCCCGTCGATTTGGTAGCAGGCTGGGTTCCCGGGTTCCCGGTTCTGGGTTCCGGGTTCCCGGGTTCCTGGTTATTGGTTCCGGGCCGATTTCGGTGGGTTCTGGGTTCCCGGGCTCCCGGGTTCCCGGTCGATCTCCTCAGCGAAAACCACCCACTATTTCGGGTTTTTCTCTGGTGCAATATACACCACATCACTCCGACGTCGTTCCCGACCCTCAGGATTGAAGAACAGCCAGCCACTGGTAATGTATATGTTCCAGTTTCCGACTGTGGACATACTTACTGTGACGGCGCCTCGGGCAGGAACCTCGTGTCCAAGGCAGGAGGAGACCTCGGGCGAGGTCCAAACGCTTTGGGCCCTAGTTGGGAACCACACTCGTTGGATGTAATGCAAGGAAGCCTCGTGTGGAAGCCACGCTTCGTAAGTAGCGGGGTCCACGTTCTTCGTGCAGCTCCGAAAACACGCACTCTGCCCACAGTCCATATTGTGACGAAGCGTCGGGCGGGACGAACACTCATTCCATACACTATTGGAGCAAATACGTTTGGGTAGCTTGCCAGGAGGGCTCTGCTGGGCTCAGCAACCAACAGGAATGAGCTCAGGCTGCGGAACGCCCCCAGAGCAGACCTGGCGCATCTAGGAGCGTGGTGGGGCGTCACAACGAAGTAACCTGCGTCAAGGTGGAGATAACGTCGGGTTCCAACATCTCTTCCCAAATCTCGCTAAGCAGGTGTAGAGCCTGCCGCCACTGCCTACCTTTCTCGCACGCGCTGACCCCAGCACTGTAGCTGACGACGTCGTGCTGCAACCTCGCATGCCGCAGCTCGACAAACAACGACAAAGCCGGAAGCCACTGTCCGCATTTCTCGCACGCGCTGATCCCGGTGCTGTAACTGAAAACGGCTGACCCGTGGACTGACGCCCAAGAAGGCACAATCGCATGCAAGGGTGAGAATCGCTTGCCTGCTGTCATGCTTGCATGGTACCTGGCCTGGTGACCTGACAAGTTTAGGCGGAAGGCCTGCTTCCTGTGTTGCTTTCTCCACTGCTTACCCGTTCGCTCGGTGCCGGTTCCTGCCGCTTGCTGATGCTTTGCGCTGCTGGCTGCCCCTTTCTAGATACATGCTGCTCTTCCCCGCCGCTGCGGGCTGGTGCTGAAATCTGCACACTGCTGGTTGATGCGGCTTGGCGCTGCTTCGTGCTGCTGCCTGGTACTGGTTGATACTGCGTGCTTGCGACTGCGTGTTGCTGCTTGCTGCCGCTGTTGCTTGCTGCTGCTGTTTGTGGCTGCATGGTGCTGCTGATTGCCAGTTCTGCATGCTGGATGACTTTGCATGGGTGGTGTTGTGGCCTGCTGCCTTCTGCCTAATGCTGCCGTTGCGTGTTGTTGTGCTGCCTCTGCTCGTGCTTGCTTTCAGAGAGGTGATCCTGCATGGTGTTGCTGATTGCCAGCTCTGCATGCTGGATGATGCTGCAGCGTGCTGCCACTGCTGCACGATGCCGCTGCGTGCCGTGGATATGTGTGTTGCCACCGCTGCTGCTGGCGCTCTGCTGCACGCCGTTGCTCGACGTTGGTGCTTGATCATGCAGGGTGCTGCGTGTCGCTACCTCTGCTTTCTGACACACCCTGCTGCTCGTGCGAGGAGGGAGGAGGGAGGAGCGAGAAACGACGGCCGAGGAGCGCTAGGGGCGGAACCAGGGCAATGCTGAGAGGGGCAAGGAGAACGGAGGGAGGGCCAGAGAGGGAGAAGTGGTAGCGAGGTACGAGCTTTGAACGAGGAGGAGGCAGCGGCAAGGAGAGCGAGAGAGAGAGAGAG